TCTTTATTCTTTACTGTAAGTACTTAATGCATTTTGCCAGAGCCAGTTTGCTCTCTACAATATACACTCTTTTAGCTTATTCCGATTACAAACTAAAATTCCTGCTAATTTAGATAAACTTCCAGTCAATCTTCAGTTAAAGATACAATTTAATAACTAAGAACACTTTATTTTTTAATCAATTCAATTAATTATCTGCTAAAACTGTGATTGACCGAAAATAAATATGCTTTACTGGACAAACTAGCGATATGTATCGGAAAGCCTAGAGATGTGCTCTGATATTTAAAAATACTTTATTGATTACCTATCATCACATGGTCCTTTGCATTTCCAAGGCTGGAAACCAAGCACAACAATTTTCTTTCAGTAAAATTTGCTCAAAACAAGCTTTTGTTTTGAATGTATTTCTGCCAAAAATGCGGGCCAAAGTTCCTGATTTTTCAGCTCCTAACTGGATTTCATATAAAAATGCCTTGGAACTTTATCCTTTTGGGTCCGGTTTGATAGCATCTTATTCTTTTTAAAACACCAGAAATCCTCCCAGTATTTTTCTCTAGTTTATCGCAACTTTCATCTAACAAACATTAGGATGAGTGGCCATTAAGGCTGAAGGAACATTACTTACAACTAAGTATGTTGTTTCTGACATGCATTGTATTATTTCAGATTGCTGATATCTTCGGGTCGCTTTAGAGAAGTTGTTGCGATAAAATTATTGCGCCTTAAAGCCTTAATGTGCCCAATAAGAGTTTCGGACGCACATTAATGGCACAAATGCAAGCAGGCAAAAATTTAATTAAAACTCCTCGTCAAAACTTGCAGATTTTCGGAATGAATTCGATGGCAACAAAATGCTGGGAAACTTCTTGTCGTTCGTCAAATTCATTAGAGATAACTGCCAACTAATTAGGGCCGCAAAATCTGTCGGATTATCAGTCCGGTATAAACTTGACACAAAATATGAAACAAAAGTTAGGAGAATAAATTAACTTAAGCCCCCAATAGCTGAAAATAAGCTTCTTTATCCACTAATTTAATTAGCCAAATTGAACTTGGAAAATACCAAAACTCGGTCAACAGGAAATGGAAATAGATGTGAAATCCTTAAACACACATGGTTGCACTAAATATATTTCAAGTCGAACAGTATTTACTCATAGAATTCGGTGCGGCAAAGAAAAATTGCTGCACCGCTTTCCACTTTGTATGGATTTGTTTAAACTTGTTACCTCAAAAGTGATTTCCTTGACTGCATTTATGGCAAATCGATAAGTGAGTGAGGAATTTGGCAAAACAATTTGGAACATTTGATTACTTGGTTGATTGATTCTTGACTTTATTTAACCCCTCAACTCCGATCCAATTATTTTGGTATTATCCTCCACCTGTTAGTTTCGTTGCTAATTTAATTGATTTCGCAGTGTGCACTAGCTATTTGACATCAGGAAATTATTTGATGATTAATTTATGTTCGCTCGGGTCTCTTGGATGCTGAGGAATGAGTGGTCAAAGAAGACAGGACAAGAATGGCCAAAAATCGAAAACGTTTGGGTTCCAAAGGATCCAGCAATTGATAGAAAACAAACCAGCGGGCCGAAAGAAACCAAACTTCCACACAGTTTTAACTGGGGTTTCTGTTAGCGACTGTGGAAGCTTAGATTCTGATATCTAAAGAGAGGTTGATGGGTGATACTGTAGAATGGCCAAAAATCGCAAAAGTGCCGAAGGTTCCCCAATTGTTTAAAAAAACAAACCGCTGTCCGGAAAGGAACGAAACTCACGTCCATTCTTAACTGATACTTCTGTTATCGACAGTCGAAGCTCAGATTCTGATATTGGATCTCAGTGCTGAGTAACGAGCCATGATGAGTGACACTGCAAAAACGGCCAAAAGTCGCAAAAGTGATGAAGGTTCTGCAAATGATAAAAAACAAACCACTGGACCAAAAAGAACCGAACTTTTACACAGTCTTACCTAAGGCTTCTGTTACCGATTGATGCAGCCATATTCTGATGTGGGACCTGGATGTTGAGCAACGAGCTGAAAGAATGAAAGACCAAGACCCAGAAAACTTTACAACTAACTACGAAACTGCGCTTCCTCATTTAAAAATTCACATCTTCCAAACTAATGTAAGTAAGAACTTGAAATTTTCATCATCGTCAGGAGATACCAGAGTGGACAAATGCTGAAAGTTTCATATCAATCGCCCAAAACCTTGATTTTTGCCGGCCCAGAAAAATGCAGATGAAAGTGCAAGTTTTGACGAAACTGCGCTTCCTCATTTAAAACTTCGCATCTTCCAAACTAATGTAAGTAGCAACTTGAAATTTCAACCATCGTTAGGCGATAATTGAATGGACAAATGCTGAGAGTTTAATATCAGTCGTCCAAAACCTTGATTTTTGCCGGCCCAGAAAATATGCAGATGAAAGTGCAAGTTTTAACGAAACTGCGCTTCCTCATTTAAAAATTCGCATCTTCCAAACTAATGTAAGTAGCAACTTGAAATTTCCACCATCGTTAGGCGATACTTGAGTGGACAAAAGCTGAAAGTTTCATATCAATCGTCCAAAGGCTTTATTTTTGCCGGCCCAGAAAATATGGACATGAAAGAGCAAGTTTTTACAAAACTCCGCTTCCTCATTTAAAAATTCGCATCTTCCAAACTATTGTAAGTAGCAACTTGAAATTTCAACCATCGTTAGGCGATACTTGAGTGGACAAATGCTGAGAGTTTCATATCAGTAGTCCAAAACCTTGATTTTTGCCGGCCCGGAAAATATGCAGATGAAAGTGCAAGTTTTTACGAAACTGCGCTTCCTCATTTAAAAATTCGCATCTTCCAAACTAATGTAAGTAAGAACTTGAAATTTCCACCATCGTTAGGCGATACTTGAGTGGACAAATGCTGAGAGTTTTATATCAGTCGTCCAAAACCTTGATTTTTGCCGGCCCAGAAAATATGCAGATGAAAGTGCAAGATTTGACGAAACTGCGCTTCCTCATTWAAAAATTCACATCTTCCAAACTAATGTAAGTAGCAACTTGAAATTTCAACCATCGTTAGGCGATACTTGAGTGGACAAAAGCTGAAAGGTTCATATCAGTCGCCTTCCAAACTAATGTAAGTAAGAACTTGAAATTTCMACCATCGTTAGGCGATACTTGAGTGGACAAATGCTGARAGTTTCATATCARTCGTYCAAAACCTTGATTTTTGCCGGCCYAGAAAATATGSASATGAAAGTGMAAGTTTTTACGAAACTGCGCYTCCTCATTTAAAAATKYGCRTCTTCCAAACTAATGTAAGTACAAGTTGWTCATTTTTTTTGCAAAAAGCTGATTGATTAATTTGATRACCAAGATATTTCGATAATTCTGGAATAAACTCAATATACTAAATGGATCCGGCTCGAAGGACCAAAAATACGTTTGCTTCCACAGCCTGCTTCCGGTTCGTTAGCTTACTTATACATCTGCAAAATGCCTGTTTTCCGGCTACAAAGCATTTAGGGCAGGCCTTCCTTTGATTCAATAGAAGTCGAGTCATTTCTCTGAAACAAAGGAAATATGGAAAAACCATTAAATCAAATTTGCAAAATGCATTTGCCACAGCGATTTTGAATCATTTTGTGTACTTTTACATTGGAGTTAATCCTATTTAAATTCGTGTTCGGGGTCGACCCTACATGGACGGTAATTAAAAACATATTTGGTGAAAAGCACGAAGGAAACTGAAGGGAAGTCCACATGTGAAGGGTGGGAAATTGCAATTTAGAGCTAGTTTTTTTGGAAACTAAGCCTGCTTGAAACTGACCCACCAAAACTAATATAAACTTTCATAGGCTTGGGGAAATAACGAGATTATTCGGGTGAAACATGCATACATTTGTTGGTGGTTTAAAAGCATGCTTTTAGCTGTTTGTGGTCATTTGCAATATAAAAAGGTTGTTAAAAACTGGCGGTGGTTCAGAGATTAATTTTTTCCAGGTGGATGTGAATACTTTGGACACTCTTGTTATGGCGGCATAGGGAAAAGAACCTACATGGCTGAAGCCAGTGAAGAGTCAATGCCAGTTGAAGCACAAGACGCGGAAATTCCTGCAGATGTCTTCAAAGGTATTTTAACACACTGAAGAAACCCTTGAGTTTATGGAAGGATTTTTCAGGGCCCAGAAGTCAATTACCTTATGCTTCTAGAGAATTCACTCAAACGGCTTTATCCCCCAAGCAGTACGAGCAGATGAACAAATACATCAGAGAATGGGTGGGTTGGAAACTTGTTTATTTTTTCATGTTATTTCGGTGGCAATTTTCCAGAGGTCCAAGAAATGCATTAAGAAAATGTTCACAAATACGTTACATTTATCCAACTTTTTCCAAGTGAAATTCGCACAAAAACTTAATCCATTAGAAACTTCCAATGGGAAACGGTGTTCGAATTTGGGTTTTTCTTCGAAAACAAACTTTAAATTATGTTGTTCGTTACCGTGTATTATTAAGTTTTAAAGTTTCTGCTGATAATTTACTAATTACGAGTGGTTTGTGGTAATTTGTACTAGAAAAATTGTTGTTTTTTTCAATTTCAAGTCGTTTGTCTGTGGTTCGGCTCAAATCTATCTTTGTAGTAAATGCCCGATACCGAATTGAGATACACTGTTGATAGGTGATCAATCACCAGCAAAATTACAGCAATTATGGCTAAGAGCCACTTCATTTAGTGAGGCGTGTTTTCAAGATTTCGCTTCGTTTTGTCCACAGTTTCACATACCGATAAACGTTCAATTTCAGCGTATTCTTCCTCTAGAGCAAACACAATCGGAATTATTCGTTTTTCTGATTATTTCCAGGTCCGCAACTACCTAAGAAAAGAACATGAACTCGAGAGGAAATAAACATCGACTGAAATCGGCGTAGCCCAAATGTAAATTTGCCAACTGTCTTTGAATAAATCAGTTTTAATTATCGAATCTCATCGTTATGTGGTTGGTTATTTTTTTCTTATGTGTAGTAATGTCTAGCTATGTGTAGAATTGTGTAGTCAAACCTTTCCTAAACAGGGTTTTTATACAAGGTAATGGACTTTTTTTCTGATGGGACCTTCAACAGTCGCTTAGGATGACCAACATTGCTTGTATAGTCGCGCAACTGTTGTAGATATAGAGGCATTTTTTTGTGGAAAATTAATCGCCCATTCGAGAAAATGTTGAAAATTTGATTTGCGTCAGGTCCGTATAGGAAATTTTTATTATTTTTGATAGTGTAAACATTCAACTCCCTCTGGCTTCTATACTAAATGCTCATAAAAATAGGGCGATAAAACGGTCGTTTGCAAATGGGTTTAAATTCAAAATAATTCCTTTTTCAATTTTTTCCCTGTCGACTCTTAAGGTCCTGCGCCGGAAAAGTCCATCGAGTCCCTAAAAACATATAAGTTCCTGTCAATTATAATAATTTCTTAAAAATTGGATCCAGATTTGTAGTTCCTGATATATAAAGGAAAACTTTGTTCGCAGCTCTTATGTAGGTGCTACATCGAGGAGGAGTATTCTTGTAATTTTCTGATCAGTCAAAGCGCTGATTATTGAACTAACAATTATAGTAACAATAAAGTAAGTCTTATTCTCCATTTTTGTATTATTGGAAAACGCCATCTGAAAGCCCACATCCCAGATGATGAACGAGCATTTTCTGATTGAAACTGGACTTTAGCCCCCGAATAAGGCCCCAAAAATTCCCTTGAAATTGATTGAAAACGGCTGGAAAATTCGGCAGAATCTTTTCTGATTTGAGATTTCTAGAGTTTCGGTTATTCCTCGAAAGAAATTCCTTCTTTAGAATCTCTTCGATAGAGCTTTTTGCGCACCATTTGTGGCTAATTAATTTTATCCAAATGTATTTACCGTTTAAAGCTTAGAAGCGAAAATATTGAATGTTTCTTGGTCTCTTTGAGTTCAAGAGGCTCGGAAAACTCGGAAACTGTTAGAAACATCTGATTAGTTCAAATGATCTTTTAGAGGAAGCGGTTTGAGAACATCCGAAATTTGCAATAGAATGCGTAAGAATCATTATTTAACAAAACATTTTGGAAAAACCATGAAGACTTTCATTATCCGGTTCAAGTTTGGAAGCCTTTGCTCTAAAATTCAATCGAACTTCTTCAAAAGTTTGCAGCAGACAACGGCCAGTAACGCACCAACAAACACATAAATATAGGTATAATAAATTGTCAGATTAACATGGAAAATTGGCATTAAAAATCCGAATGAGCGTCATTTGATAAGCAGTTATTGAAGAACACAGATAAGATTTGACTAAACAACACACCAGATTATTACAACGTAAAACATTCATCGTGTCTTGTCGAAGAGAAGCTCACTAATGGTAAGTGCTCGAAAATAATTAAGATCAATTTACTTTTAAATTTCCAACAATGGAAGATACTTAGTTTAATGAACATCAGCAACCAAACCTAAAAGGAACAATTTTTGACTGCGTCTGCACGAGCAGCCAGTTTAATCGATTTGAAACGTCCACAATATAAGCAATATTTCCGAAGTCAATTCACGACATTGCAGTGAATTATCTGAAGAGATAAGAAGACGATTTAAGTACAAAATTTGAGTCTCTTTGCACTGTAAAGAGACTGACTTGTGTCGATAAAAACCCCGCAAAGCAACCGTCGAAATAAGCTGCAAAACTCGTGAATTGTGTAGTGTCTGACTGTCTAATAGTGTCCAGTTTATAAAATAAAAATGTTAGAGAAGGCTGATGAGTAAGTGTAAACTCACATTAAATCACCTGCTAACTGGGTTATCTGTAAAATGTCGCATGCATACTTAGGCATTAGTTGGAACAACCACACGTGTTTTATGAACGCAAAATGTGAATTAATTTTCCTTTGAATGAAAAAGTCACTGTGCTGGTTTTAATTAAATGATTTAAAACAGAGAAACGGATTCAGCGTCTTCGGACAATGAAGCAACCAACGATTTTATCAACATCAACGAACTGTGGCCAGATTTGCCCGTGTTAGAAGACTCGTTGGACGATTCGAGTGTTGCAGGAATTTCCTTCACCAAGCAAACGCTGCCGAATGTTATAAACAATCTTCTATATACAGAGATTCGCACTAGCGCCATGACAAATCTGGGAAACATTCTGATGGGTTTGTACATCAAGAATTTTGAAAGCGCCCTAATCCTGAGCCAAAAATTTGCAGGATATTTGGATGACGAAGGTTCCACCCAAGATGACTCCAAAGTGGGACGTCTTTCTCTAGCCAACGAAAAACTTGCATACATGCCCAAGTTAGTGTGCGAAGCCTTTGGGCCCATCATTAAAATACTGGACATTTCGGACAACAACATCGGGTATGTGGGGGAAGTTGAACCGCCCCGGTTTGTAACGAGCAATGAGGGTTTTTTTTAAAGAAACTTGGATTTTTTGGACTATTTCACCGAATTGACCTCACTGATAGCCGACAAGAATCCAATCAGCTCCGCTGACACCAACATCCCTTGCATGCCCAAGTTAGAGCTGCTCTATTTGAACAAGTGCAAAATCAGCAACCTTTGCTGGGTGGAAGCGCTGCGCTACAACTGCCCGAAATTGAGATTTCTGTCCTTAATGGGCAACCCGGTAGTTCCAGCCTTTATGACCACGGGAAACGTCTACCAGTACCTGCAGTACAGGTATTTGAAAAAATCCTCGCAAACTCTTAGTGACTAGCCGGGTATTTTCAGGCTCTATGTGATATCAGCGATCCCCAACTTGGTGCATCTGGACGACAAGAGAATCACTGCCGATGAACGGGCGCAGGCCAAGAAAATGTTCCCAACTCCATTTGTGCACCATCTGCTCAAGTCCACTCAAGTGCGGGTTCCTCACCTCTTAAGAAAGCTCACGGGTAGAACCAGCAATTATTTTCCTAAATCCCCTGTGAGGAACCATTTACACCCATCCAAACCAATGGGGAATAACTATTTGGTCTAGGGAGAATTTAATTAATAAATTTGTTGTTTTCATTTGAAACCGGTTATTCCTCAATGAAGGTCCCGTAGCCGAAAAGAGGCTCTGCGGAAAACTTCAGGTACTCAGGAGCACTGAAATGCTCGAAGATAATCAGCTCATTTTCGCCGGTCTGCAATAGTCCTGCAGGCAGATAAAGGGCTTGTTGAGGCCCAACGGCGAAGATTCTTCCCAGAACAAATCCGTTAATAATAACTATTCCTTTCCGCCAATCCTGGACATTAATGTAGGTGTCCCTCAGAGGCTCTGTTGCTTGGAAAACCGCCTGAAAACCATTAATGTATTCAAGAATTGGACGATTTGAATTTTTTACTCGATATAAGGCAGGGACGGAGTCTCTGCTCTCAATTCTGTGCCACCCAGTGAGTTGCTGGTTCCAGGCCCTTTTGAACTCCAATGGAATGATCTCCCAGTCGTTGATCACTTCTTTGTCCACACTGACGTCGTCAATTAGGCCTGAAGTTGCGCATTTTACCCCCTAGTTCTACTTAGTTCCAAAAGTACCTTTAAACTGCTGATATTGGCTCAACACTCCGAAGTTGTTTCTGCCGTTGTTCTCCACCACCAAGTCCAAAGTGGCGTCCCGCAGAGCTTCACTAGAGAGGAGTATGGACGAATTCTCCAATCTCCAATAGCTGGAAATCTTTGCCTCAACTCCAAAGACTCTAAGTACAGTTGGCGAAACTCACCCAAAGCCATCCAGATCGTCAACACGGGACAACAAGGAGTTCACCAACTTTCCATTGAGTAAAACTAAGACATGATCTCTTACATAGCCAGTAATTTCGAGAACGGAGTTCGCTTTCAGGTCCAAGTTAGTTTTTCGGTAAACGACGTATCCAAAGCTCTGACCTAAACATTGTTAAACATATAAATTGTACATACTTTCCTGACTGTGTTTCAATTCCAAATCAAAATCAATTCCTGGGCTTCAGTCATTTATTGTCTATTTATCAATTAAAATACGTTTCGGTGTTTTCCACCATCATCAGTTTCTCTAAAATAACAGATAGTGTTAAAAAAATTTTTTTAATTAATTTTAAAAACAATCACAGTTTGTCAACAGCTTCATCATATCATACACCAAAATACATCACAATTGCAACACTTTAAAACATTCTAAGATTAATTAGGCCTAACAGGTGATTAGTCAGGACAATCAAATTTGGGAAGAGACTAGAATTCTTTGTTCAGATACTCAATTATTTTTACTTACATGTGTAGCGTTGTTGCTACTTTAAGCCTTGGCATATATTTGGAGTATTAATTTTG